ATTCCTACCAGTATGGTTAGGGCAAGACTTCGCTGGGCGCGAGGCTTCCTAAACTCACGGATAAACTGGCCGTGACCAAATCAAGCCTTCAGGTTGAAGGACATCGGATATGGCTTGACTTGGAGAGCGATGAGTTCTGCCAGGTCTACTTGACCATGACACGATAAGCGTGAATAAATCCCTCTCTGGGTTTCTATCAAGATATGAGGAGGGGGAGTGGTCAGGACATCAGCTCTACAACGACTTTACAACTACACCCAGTCGTGGGATATAATGATGAGTCTTCACCCACTGAGAAAGAAAGAAAAATACATACATTATTAAACAAATAAAATGCCATTCAGATAGCTGTCGTGAATAAACAATTATCGAACGTTTATCACTAAGAGAAACTAAAATAATAAAAAAAATATTAAAAATATAAACACTAAGAGTAATGAATCCTTTTTACAACGAAAGAAAATAGAAACTAAAAAAAAAAAACTCCCCGAAATAGTTAAAAATCAAATTAGTCTTTTATTTGCCATCGTTAAATTATATAGGAACTACCTTTCATGGAAGTTAGATTTTTCCTTGTTATTCTTATATAAATGTTGTATTTAAAGTTTTATTAGCGTTTTTTTCCTTTCTAAATCGACTAATTGGAACTGATGTCACTGACGTCTGCATAACCAAGAATTGAATAAATCTGAAAAGTGTTTATTGATTTATATATGCTTCTCTTGAAAAAAAATCTCCTTTTCACTAGAGGTTTAAAAAAAAAAGGCAGTTTAGCTTAGTTTGGCCCAAGGTTAAAATAATGACTATCTTACGGAAGATGGTCATCGCTAAGCTAGAGAATGATAGACAAAAATACACATTAAAATATATACATATCATATACACTTCATACGGCAATAAAAGTTTAAACATGGCGCAAGGTCATATATATATATATATATATATATATATATATATATATATATATATGACTTTAACAGGGACATATCCTTTTTCCAGGAACCAATAAAACTGTCAAAATGACCAAGGGAATTCAGAGCAGCATGAATCCATCCAGCTCTTATCTTAAATAACAACTTAAAAGAGAGTGTTTGACAAGGACAAGGACTGACCAAAATTCATGTTAAATAAAACAAATGAAAACTACAGACAAAAGTTCATTTTCGCCATCAAGACAATCATAGTAGTGCTAGTGCTACTAGCAAGCAGGAATGTTTTTCTCCTGATGATGGCCATGTTGGCCGAAACTCGTCGAGGAATCTAACTGAAATAATAACAGAGACGAAAGAATATTAATATACAACCCAGTGTGTCTGAAGATTTTAATTTTTTTACTATTTTCTATTGTTCAAAACACACACACACACACACACACACACACACATATATATATATATATATATTCCTAATCCTAATAGGATTCCTAAATTTTCGCTTGAGGATGAAAAATGGCTTGATACTTTAACTCAATTTAATTTTAATAACTATATTGATGGTTTCGGCTCTCGTTTTTGAAACGTGAGAACTCTTATGTAGCGAAGGAATCATATTTTTCAAAAAATAATTATAATCTAAGCTCTACTTCTGTATGGAGCACTGTTTTTTTTATTAAATAAAAAACAAAAAAAAGTAAAGAACCCGGATTATTTACCTAACGTTCTCTTTCCTTTTTCAACATATCTGCACACACACACACACACACACACACACACACACACACACACACACACACACATACATATATATATATATATATATATATATATATATATATATATATATATATATATATATACTAGCAGCATGGTCAGGCGTTGCCCGTGCTTGATTCAAAAATCGTACGACACATACAGCAATCGCTATCACTTGACTTAAAATATTTTTGCCCTTACTTGCCATTAACGGATTGTGCCCTTTGCCGTACTGATGTTGCTACGTGCCTTACTTCTTGCCATTCTCACACTGCGAATTTTTTCTAAGCTCTATACTAAATTAAATCTGTTACGAAAAAACTAAACAAAATGAACACAAAACGATCAGCTTTATAAAAAGGACTCATAAGTGGAAAAACCGAATGAAAAAAGAATGTTATCAACAAATACTTCTTCAGAATCAGAATCAACGTTGAGTTTAAGCAAGCGAATGAGCCAATTGGAGTAAAGTGCCATGCAGATTTAAATTTTTCCCACTTGTGACGAATGCAGCTATCGATTTTTTTTGGCATGCTAGCATGCTAGTTAATATTTGTGTCAGTCTTCTGTTGGCTCTCACACTGGCCAATATACTATCCTTGACTATTCGTGACAGCCAGCTACAGACTCTCACTCTGGCCAGTACAAAATGGCCGCAAACTACATGAAAACTACCGTAGAAGCATGAAAAAATCGATTATTTCCACTATCGATGGGAGTTGGGAAATGCAAAATCGGTCTTAGCTTTCCCGCCAACTTGGAGCATGTGCATTAAATTTTAGTGCAAATCTGTCGAAAATTGCGGCCGTGCATTCGTTACACACACACACACACACACACGCACGCACACACATCCTGCCTTTTACACACACACACACACACACATACACACACGGGAGAGTCCACGACATTCATATTCATTGCCCCATCTTCACAGATAACTGCCGTCTTGCCCATCAACACCTACATTCAATCTGAATCATTATTTCCTCGCGAATGACTTCGAAGGTGGCTCTTCAAACCAGCAGCTGATTTACAAGACCCTGATGACAGATTTGCTTTAGGTCTTAATAGGGTTAAGCGGATGTTGCTGCGGTAAGTCATCCTTGTGCACCAACATATGCCTCTTCAATCCAGATGTCGATTTACATACTTCCTTTCAGATCACACATGCAGTATCACCGGATCGTGGAGATTATACAGAGTGAGGAGGTTTCTCATGTGATTTCAGATGATTAACATACTCAACTTTTGACAGTAGGATACAACTAGATGCCTCGCATTTCCAGCTTGCAGTGCTGTCATACATGCTCCTGGTAATACCTTTCCTCAAATCCCTTTTAAGTGCTGCATGTGCTAAATTCATTTCCTTTGCTGACTTGCATACTTCAACAACAGCCCTGCGCCACTTATTGCGATCACTAGAAAAGCTTTCCCTTTTCATCTACCCATACCCTCAGCACTTTCAACTTATTCCTCAGACAGTCCTTAAATCTTTTTGTTTTTTGTTTTTTGGCTAATGCTGAATTTGCTTACCATTTGTAAGCTCAGCATAAAATAGCTGCTTCAACAACCGACTGTCATCCACGCGTAGCACATATCCGGCCCATCTCATTTGGTTTTTAATCAGTAAATGTTCTATGCTTGGTCAGCAGGCCCTGAGAAGAACTGTGATATCTGGTATCATAGACTGTCATTTTATGTTAAGGATTCTCCTTAGACAATCTTGATGAAAGCGCTCAAGCCACTTCAGGTGATAGAGCTAAATCGTTTAGAATTCTGAAGAGTCTAAAAGGACGGTCAGTACGTAAGTTTGGTAAACTGTCACTTTAGTACTGCTGGTGATGACTCGTTCTGAACACAAACTTTTCTCTAAACCAAAACCTGTTGGTCCGAGTATGTACTTCAGGATCAAGAGACCCGTCTCGAGACAATGTGCTTTTTATTGTACAAATGTATCCATAACATTTAAATGATTTTTACTGACATATTTTATCAATGGCACATAAATATACATTATTTTTTTTGTTATATTTACGATACATACATCCATACTTATATATATATATATATATATATATATATATATATATATATATATATATATATATATATATATATATATATATATATATATATATATATATATATATATATATATATGTATATATATATTCACACACACATATATATATATATATATATACATATATATATATATATATATATATATATATATATATATAATACACACACACACATATATATATATATATATATATATATATATACACATATATATGTGCTTGTGTGTTATGGGATCTTTCCAATAATAATAATAATAATAATAATAATAATAATAATAGGCAAGGAGTCAGTAGTTCAAGTCGAGTCATTAGTTCAAGTCGAGTCAAGGTCGAATCAGAGGCAGTCCGAAACAGAGTCGCGTTCAGACAATTACCGCAAGACATTTGAATAGTGATACTGTTCGAGACTATATTGTTTCTCTCTACTAAACCTGATTCATACTAACACTTTCTATTTCTCTGTGTATATTCCTGTTTGTAATATATCTGTGTTATTCCACATCCGTGTTCGAGTTCTTCTTTATTGGTTTTACCTTGGACTATCACCGTGTTACAAGGAACCGGAACATAACAGTGTGTAGAAATAAAAAGAAAGAACAGTAAGATATATAATCCGGCGTTCTTATTTATATTTTTATTTTTACAAAACAGTGCTCAATGTAAATTTACAGAGCATTAATATTATAAATTAACTGGTTTAAAATATGTTTTTCGCTACACCGTTCGAACCATGTTTCAAAAATGGAAGCTAAAAACCTCAAATTTAATTTTTTAATGAAATTAAAAGCATTAGTTCCATTTCATCTTCAAGCGAATTTTGGAGTAAGTTATTTTTTTAAATTTACTGAGTTTTAAACGCACACAAAAATTCGTAATTCACTGTTTCCAAGGATACAGAGAAATCCAATCAATCAATTATTAATAAAATTTATTAATAAAAATGAACATGCTACCACCCCTTGTCTGAATGATTAGATTTCTTGTCATTATTTAAATAAGAGGGTGCAAATGAGAAGATTTGAAAATAACAAGATTTGCATTTCACTCAAACAGGCTGTAAACGCATTAGTGCGTTGTTGACTCGTTTTTATCATTCTTGCTTTTTTATTTCTTTCTTTCGTTCATCCTTCCATCCTTCCTTCTTTTTCTCTATTTTTGTTTCTTTCGTTTTTAGTTTATTCTTCTCTCCTTATTTTTTTTCTTTATTTCATGTATCCATTAGTCCTTCTTTTATACTATTTGCTTTTTTCTTTCCTTGCTTCCGTCTTTTTCCTTTCTTTCTTTATTTCGTTCACTCATCTTTCTTTCTTTCTTTCTTTCTTTCTTTCATTCTTCCTTCCTACCTTTCTTCTTTCTTTCTTTCTTTCTTCCTTCCTTCCTTCCTTCCTTCCTTCTTTCTTTCTTTCTTTCATTCATTCTTCCTTCCTTCCTACCTTCCTTCCTTCTTTCTTTCTTTCTTTCTTTCTTTCTTCCTTCCTTCCTTCTTTCTTTCTTTCTTTTTTCTCGCCTTCCTTTTTTCTTTGTATTTTCTTTCTTTCTTTTTTCGTTCATTCTTCTTTCCTTCTTTCTTTTTTCTTTCTTTCTTATATTCATTCTTCCTCCTTTTATTCTATTTGCTTAATTTCGGTCATTTTTCTTTCCTTACTTCTGATTTTCTTTTTCTTTCCTTTATTTCGTTCTTTCTTTCTTTTTTCATTGATTTATTCATTTTTCTTTCTTTCTTTCTTTCTTTCTTTCTTTCTTTCATCCATTCTTCCTTCCTTCCTTCTTTCTTTCTTTCTTTCTTATTTCATCCACTATTCTTTCCTTCTTTTTTCTTTCTTTTTTGTATAAATTCTTCCTTCTTTTCTTCTATTTACTTTCTTTCCTTCCTTTTTCTTTCCTCCCTTTCGCCTTTCTTTTTCCTTTCTTTATTTCGTTCATTCTTCTTTCTGTCTGTCTTTCTTTCTTACCAACAATAACTAATTATAGCAGAATTACTAAAATTCTTTATATGTAGCCGTAAAATTGTGCATACCTAGTTTACGGCATTAAATAATCCATAGCGGTGTTGATATGGCGCTAAACAAAATCAACCAACCAACCGTATATCAGATCTTTACCGAGCGTGTGAGTTAAGATGAGATCTTAGATAGGTTGCAAGCAAAGAGGAAGCTTATATTTAATATCAGGAAGAGGCAGCTGAAGTTAAAACTTAATGAGGAAGGAGGGCCTGGAGAATCTGATACTCACGGGTCGAATAGAGGGAAAGAGAGACAAAGGAAAACAAAGCATGACATACCTAGCGGGCTAAAGCAAGTAGATGAGAGTACGTGGTCTGTGGGTGGTAACAGAGGGAAGGAACTTGTTGAGAGCTGCATGGGATCGAGGGAGGTGGAGAGCCATGATAACCTACGACCTGAAAGGACATGGCACAATAAAAGAAAAGCACATTTTGAAAAATTCCCAGTGGTTCGCCGTTCCCACCCAGTCATGTGTATTTATATACTTCTTATCCTATCGAGAGTTAACGATTCGTATTCTCATAGCCACCGTTTTCTATTCTCTGTCTCTTATTTTTGTATCTAAGGTAATTTGTTCTTGTAGAATTGTTTGGAACTGCCATTTATAGGGGTCCTAACTCTTTTTAAATTTCGTGTACTGATTTCGGGAGAATTAACTCTGGTTTCAAGAATCAAGTACTTATGGCAGCTGAAAATGTCAGTGTTGGTACCAAGAGAGAAATTGGTAAAAAGGTACCGGGAAATAGCATGACGAGAATGGAAATAAAAAAGAGTAAAATGGAGCAGAAATAGGAGAAAAATAGTAGAAGGTGGAACTGGAGGGTAAAACAATTTATTACCTACACCAGTGAGGCTTCGGTCACGGCCTGTCTCGCGTGAGACGGCCATTACCAGCGGCGACACATTCATCATTGCAGCGGGTCACCTAGAAATGAAGATAGATAGATAGATAGATAGATAGATAGATAGATAGATAGATAGAAAATCAACCAGGAAGAAAAAAGAAAATGGGAAATCAAGAAAAAAGAAGAAAAGGCAAAGTTAGGATAGAGAAGAAGAAGAAGAAGAAGAAGAAGAAGAAGAAGAAGAAGCGTTGCAGCAGCAACAATAACAACAAAACACAATAAGGTGTGCAACAAACTAATGAAGAAAACTGGTAGAATTTAAAACAAGGACAGAAATAGTCAAGAAAGAAGAATAAATGAAATTTACATTACTCAGAAAGAAGAAGAAAAAAGAAGAAGAAGAAAAAGAGTGAAAAAATAACAAAGAAGAAAGAAAGAAAGAAAGAAAGAGAGAAAGCTTGTACGGAATAAGGTGTAGAATCAATAAATATAAAAGAAAAAAACTGAAGAAGAAGAAGAGAGAGGAGAAGAAGAAGAAAATAGGAGAATAAAAATGAAAAAGAAGAAATAAAAGCCAGAAAAAACTGTACGGAATAAGGTGTAGAATCAATAAATATAAAAGAAGAAGAAGAAGAAGAAGAAGAAGAAGAAGAAGAAGAAGAAGAAGAAGAAGAAGAAAAAAGGGAAGAAAAAAAAAAAAAGAAGAAGAAGAAGAAGAAGAAAAAAGAAAGCCAGAAAAAACTGTACGGAAGAAGGTGTAGAATCAATAAATATAAAAGAAAAAAACTGAAGAAGAAGAAGAAAAATAAATAAATAAATAAATAAATAAATAAATAAATAAATAAAGAAAGAAAGAAAGAAAGAAAGAACAACAAAACTACGGAATAAAGTGTAGAGTAAATAAATATAAAAGAAAAACTAAAGTAAAAGGAGAGGAAGAAAGAAAGAAAGAAAGAAAGAAAGAAAGAAAGAAAGAAGGAAAAAGCTGTACGGAATAAGATATAGAATCAACAGAGATAAAAGAAAAGACTGAAGAAGAAGAAGAAGAAGAAGAGGAAGAAGAAGAAGAAGAAGAAGAAGAAGAAGAAGAAGAAGAAGAAGAAGAAGAAGAAGACACATACGCAATATGATACAGATTTAATAAAACTAAAAATAAAACGGCAAGAGGAAGAAAAAGAATAAAGACGGCGACGGAAGAGATGAATTAAGGAAGAAGAAAGAAAGAAGAAGCGAATAATTCTCAAAATGTAGAAGAAGAAGAAGAAGAAGAAGAAGAAGAAGAAGGAAAGAAGAAGAAGTAATTGTGAGAAGAAAAACACAACAAATAGTTCAATTTTCTGGTTGATAATAGAAAGAGGTGATGACAGTAAAGGCAAACATTGCAAGTAAAGAGGAAGGAAGGAAGGAAAATCGAAAGAGAAAGAGCTACAAAATAAAAGGGTGGGGGAGAAAGAAAATAAAAAAAAAGACGAAAAGAAAAGAGGAAGAAAATTGAGTTGGTTTGAAAATTGAGACAGTCAAAATTGTTTGAAATGCCTCAGGGAACAGTTGGGCAAAGTATCATATCTTCTATGTCTGAGAGGGCAAAATAAACTTATCTCCCCCAGGAATGGCAATGTAATGGTCTACCACACACAAGGAAATAAGCGCGTACACACACACACACACACACACACACACACACACACACACACACACACATATATATATATATATATATATATATATATATATATATATATATATATAGTATGTAGGTAGATACCGAATACTCAAATTTATTTTCTAAGATAATTCCATTGTTAGTCGATAGAATTTCTGTAACAATTTCAACTCCAATCTCTGGAATCGTTTTAAGTGTATGTGTGTGTGGCGGTGCCAGTGAGTATATACGTGTATGTGTGCTTGAAAGCAAGTGTTTGTGCGTGGGTCCGTCGCCATGGGAAGGAAGTCTAGTCATTTTCTTAGGGGGGGGGAGGAGGCCGAAAGAAAGGGAGTAGGTGTAGAGTGAAAGAGAGCAAATACTTGTGACAGTAATGAAAAAGAAGGCGTAATTGTTTGAGGACGCGAGTGAGTAACTCCGTGAGCGTGTATATATGTGAAAGAGAGGGTATATACGAGCGTAAATGAGGGTAATGTGTCTGTCTAAATGTGTATATTTGCGCGGGAAAGAGAGCAGTAGAGAGAGAGTACGACTGGTTTTATGGGCGAAGGAAGGAATGTAATAAAGGGATTGAAAGCGTGGACTTGTGTTTCCATGGTTATATATATGTATATCGAAATACGTTCTCGCAAATTCCGATTGATAGAAATAGTTATTGATAAGAGAAAATAGGCAACCACAAACCACTGAAGAAAGAATCGGAGTTAGTATTTTGTTTCCATTTCGAAAAAAGAAAATGGAGAATCAAATTTTATTTTCTTTATTTTTAAAAGACACACCAAAAGGACACTATTCCTTTAGCAGGCTATATATATATATATATATATATATATATATATATATATATATATATATATATATATATTATAAATTAATTGATTTAAAATGTTTTTTTTTCGCTACACAGTTCCAACCATGTTTCAAAAAATAGAAGCTAAAAACTCCGAAGGACACCGGATTTTATATCTAACTGTTCTTTTTTTTTATATATATATATATATATATATATATATATATATATATATATATATATATATATATATATATATCTTTGGGTTGGTTGGAGAAAGTACGGAAACATGCTAGATATATTTACCGTCATGTCGTGGTCAATCTCAAAAAATTGAACTCTTTCCTCCCAATTATGTCATACAAAATACATCTATCTATCTATCTATCTATCTATCTATCTTCTGTTATGAATTGAGCGCCCTGGCTGCTGATTTGGCGTTTATATACATCACGTATATAGTACGTTAAAATTCCCGTTCTCTACCGTGTGCTGATGCCAAATCGGTCGAATTTCGAAGCAATCGGATGTCTAGATAACGTGATCAGCTGTCTTACAGCGAAACAGGCTATATGTATGTATATATATATATATATATATATATACACAAACAACACATATATATATATATATATATATATATATATATATATATATATATATATATATATATATACTATCGAGTCTCCCGTCGTATTCGACGTATGAGGTTCAAGCAGCTCATTTCCTAGGAACTGACATCCCAGACATCAGCCTATGAGAATTTATTATAGTGGTGAAGGCTTTGTGCGCAACCAAATACGCGATTTGAAGGGTCGAACACAGAGGCCTAGTACACTAGTTTCCACATATCTTTGTGGAACGTAGTGCACTCAAACGACCATCTGCAAGTTTTGAATTCAGATTTGTCCTTCTTTCTAGACCAGTAGCCATCCAAGTCTATGGAACCTAGTCTGCCCTGGGTTTCATAGACTTGTCAACCAAATTTCCCCAAACGACCCTCCTCAGGTTTTGAATTCAGATTTTTCCTTCTCTTAGACCAGTCAACATCCAAGTCTATGGAACCCAGTTTGTCCTGCTGTTTATCCATAGCTGGATGGAGAAGAAAAGGATTATTGCCTTTCCCAAGAGTATTAGCGCGTAAGTGAATGCAATGGATTCGACTGGAATTCGAACTCGGCTTTATATATATATATATATATATATATATATATATATATATATATATATATATATAATGGACTCTCCTGTCGCATTCGGTGTATGATGATCTGACACCTTAATTGATTTATTGTTTTTAATGCCTTAATATATATATATATATAAACACACACATACATGTAGTTAATGAGACAAAATTCGTTTACTTGTGCTACAGAGGCGTCTACATTTTCGTATACATTACGCAAAGATGAAAATATCACTTACATTTCATTTTAAAATATATATTTTTCAAAATGACTATCAAAATGACACAAAAATATCTTGAAATACAAAAGAGAAAATTTATTCAATAAATTTGCCATTTGCTTAAACCGAGATATTCAAACGACTTAGGAATCTCCTGTAACTGTCTTGAACGTTCTCCTTGTTTCAGTTGGAGAATGCTGCCAAAATTCTTACCTTTATTCCATCCTTGCTGTGGCAAAAAGTTTTGGTGATCTCTCGCCCAACTCGGCCCCACACATAATAATCAATGGGAGTTGGGTGGCCAGATATAAGGGGTGATTTTGTCGCAGAAATTGTCTCACAGACATGACTGGGTTCCCCTGCTTGTCTAGTATGGCGCAGAAGCCTGTTGCCTGATATAGGGTCTTCCAGCAGCCACTCTCCTGACATAGGGCAGCACTAACACGTCAAGATGTAGGCTTCTCTGTTGAATCCGTGACCTTGTGGGAAGACAGTTGTAGGCATAACGGCGCAATCTCTAGAAAGAAAGAAAAAAAGAAAGAAAGAAAGAAAGAAAAGTATTTATAATAGAAAGACAGGAGAAAAAATAAGAAAACTATAAAAAAAAGAAAGAAAGAAAGAAAGAAAGAAAGAAAGAAAGAAAGAAACTACAAAATAAATCATAATAGAAAGAAAGAAATAAAGAAATTTTAACATATTCGATTTATTTTAATCGTTCTTATCCAGAGTTTTATAGATTTTATTATGGACTCAATGTTTCAGTCAAGTAGTTGACGGTCATCGTCAGGTAAGAAAGAAAGAAAGAAAGAAAGAAAGAAAGAAAGGAACAACCCTTGATATAATATAAATAGCTATATTGTGGCCCCAGGTGATCGTTGAGAATAAATATTGAAGCAACTATTAGTAAGTTGCAGGTTAAGGTCGAGGAGACACAGCGATCCATTCCTCATTTACAAGAACATAATAGTAATTCTGATTATTATTAATGACGTTATAATTTCTCAAAGGGCAAGGGCATTCCTAAATAACATTCGTTACGGATTTTGAGGGATTTTTTTGAGGTTCAGTGTTCTTGGTACTCATGAGGTCAGATGTCTGCAATTTATAAGTAATCTTGTGTATTTATTGCAGTCATTAAATGATAGATATACGAATTATATATTAATGTTTTTCTGTTTGTTTTTTTTTCAGAAAGGAAAACGCAATGATGATCAATCTGATTAGAAAGGGATCTGCAAAGGAAAAAAAATCTGAGCCCCGACACGGCAAAAAAAAAAAAAAAAAGCTGTGATACCATGAATGAGAATCTGATCTCTAACCTTATATGAAAGAAGATATCTCTGTAGACGAATTACAAACTTGGATAAGGTGCGTATTAGTGTCATTAAACGATATCTTTCTACAATAACAAAAATAATGAAGTCATTATTGACGAGGCGTCGTTTATCGGTCTTAAGATGTCAGAAATTGGCAAAGTCTAAGAAATTACAGGCTCTCAGATTTTGCCATAAGTTTTTTTAGGAACCACTTTTTCCTTTGGCTTTTTTTTCTCTGTCTTTTCCATCACTCAATTATTTTTCCTCTTATATTTGTATTTAGTATCATTTTGTCCAATCATTTCTTCATTTCTTCCAATTCTTTCTTTCCTTTTCATTCCTTCTTATTTTCCTTCTTCCTTATTTTCATACAATCTTCTACCTTTTCTGAAAGTATTTACTTCTCCAACTAATGTTAATTGTCCTTCCATTTTTTCTTTCTTTCTTTCTTTCTTTCTTTCTTTCGTTCTTGAAATAATTTAATAACTTTTTTTTTCTAGTAACATTCTCTTTCCCTTTTGTTTGTAGTAATTTCTTATCTTTCTGATATTTATTTACTTTTTTCTTTCTTTCTTGGCAACGATTTAATAAAATCTTCAATTATTTTTTTCTTTCTTTCTTTCTTTCTTTCTTTCTTTGCAATAATAATAAAATCTTCTAATATTTTCTTTCTTTCCTGCTTTCTTTTTTTCTTTCTTTTTTTGCAATAATTTCTTCTTTCAGATTTTTGTTTTCTTTCTTTCTTTCTTTGCAATAACAAAAGTTATAATATTTTCTTTCTTTTTGCATTAATTTCTTCTCTTTCTGATATTTGTTTTCGTTCTTTCTTTTTTTCTTTTTTTAACAATAATGTAAAAAAAACTTCTAATATTTTATTTCTTTCTTTCTTTTCTTTAGAATAATTTCTTTCTTTTTGGTATTTGTTTTGTTTCTTTCACCCTTTCTGTCTTTTTTGGCAATAATTTAAAATTTAATATCATCCTTCTTTTCTTCTTACCTTCTTTCTTTCTTTCTTTCTTTCTTCCTTCCTTTCATTCTTTTTTCTTTCATTCTTCTTTCTTTCTTTCTTTCTTTCTTTCTTTCTTATTTGCATTAAATTGTTTTCTTTCTAATATCTGTTATCCTATGTTTTTTCTTATTTTCTTTCTTTATATTTTCATTCCTTTATTTACAATAATTTAAGTAATTCTTTATTTCTGTGTTTATTCTTACGTTCTTTGTTTTTTGCAATAATTTCTTCTCTTTTTGTTATTTGATTTTTTAATTAGCTCTTATTTTCTCTCTTTCCTTCCCTACATTTCCATGCATCACAGTTTTTCTCCTTCTTTCTTTTTAATATATTTCTCTTGCTTTCTCTTTTTTCTCTCTTTTTCTTTTCTCTTTTGATTTTCGGGTATCATCAACACACCTTCACGTTGTATTTCATAGCCCCTGTTTTTACTATTTTCTCTTTAACTCTTACTGTTTGCCTTTGAATTTGGTTAAGTAAGACTCCGTTTTTTCGCCATCGACTCAACTCGCTCTACCAAATTATGTATCATTATCACCTGTCATAACCCCCACCACTTACTGTCTTTCATCTGGATTTAAATCCATCCCTATTTCTCAAAGGCATTGACGATTAAACTCCGAAAATGAAATTGCCATTCATCTGCCGTTGACGAAACCTTCGGGAAAGTTATGTAAGTAAGAAAATTAAAAGAAAACGATACTTTGTCTCATTTGAGGAATTCTTCGATAAGAAGAAAAAACATAATTGGGTATCAGAGGGAATCACAGAACAGAGACCAGAGCCCGTGTGAAAACTTTTGGAACATTCTCAATTATTGAAGCACAGTTGGTCAAATCTATATATACGAAGGCTGTTCATAAGTGATCCAGGCATTTAATATTAATACTAGCAGCATGGCCCGGCGTTGCCCATGTTTGATTCAAAAATCGTACGACTCATACAGCAATGGCTATCACTTGACTTAAAATATTTTTGCCCTTCCTTGCCTTTGCCGTGCTGATGTTGCTACATGCCTTACTTCTTGCCTATCTCACACTGCGAATTGTTTCTAAGTTCTATACTAAACATTAAATCTGTTACGAAAAAAGAACTAAACAAAATGAACCCAAAACGATCAGCTTTAAAAAAGGACTCATAACTGGAAAAACCGAATGAAAAAAGAATGTTAACAACAAATACTTTTTCACACCCAACCCAGTTCTGCGGAATCAGAATCAAGGTTGAGTTTAAGCAAGCGAATGAGCCAACTGGAGTAAAGTGCCATGCAGATTTAAATTTTTTCCCACTTGTGACGAATGCAGCTACCGATTTTTTTTTTTGCATGCTAGCATGCTAGTTAAAATTCGTGTCAGTCAGCTGTTAGCTCTCAGGCTGGCCAATAGAATCTTTTTGCCTATTCGTGGCAGCCAACTATTGGCTCTCACTCTGGTCAGCAGAAAAAAACTACATGAAAACTGCCGTAAAAGCATGAAAAAATCGATTATTTCCACTATCGATGGGAGTTGGGAAATGCAAAATCGGTCTTGGCCTTCCCATTAACTTGGAGCATGTGCATGTAAATTTTGGTGCAAATCAGTCGAAAATTGCGGCCATGCATTCGGTACACACACACGCACACAAACACACACACACACGCACGCACACACACACACACACACACACACACACACACACACACACACAAATCCTGCCTTTTATAAACAGAGATAAAGTACCTTGACTAAGGTAGTGGTGAATCAGTCCCCTTTTGTGCATACCACCTTGGATCTTACACATTTTCCTGAACGGAATTTCCAATACTCAAAACCCTGAAAATTTCTCTTTTGTAATCGCGATAATCTGCCTCTCCAAAACCTCATCGTTGCTCACATGATGAGGCTTGGCAGAGGATGGGAGGGAGCCTAAGCTTAACATCACTAAGAGACAGCTGGGATGGTAATGAGAAAGTAGGGTTTGGAGAATCTGAGACTCACAAGGCAGATATACGGAGAGAGAGACAAGAAGCAGAAGCAACGGATGACATGCAAGTAGATGACGAAACAGGGTTTTGGAGAATTAGCAAAAGGGTAAAACATATTGACAGTTACAAGTGATAGGGGGATGTGGAGAGCCATGATCGCCTACGTCCTGAAGAGACACAGCACATAAAATAAGATCATATGCCTTATCGGATTCTCATTTAATCTCTTGAGCAGTCTGATTTTCAGTCATCGGAGAAACTAGAATACGCAAATATTGATTGCCGGTATGGTGGCCGACAGACCTGTGTGATGCAATATTCTGTCAAAATGCATGGCGGAATATTGGTTGTTGAAATATCCAAAATCGCTAGATGTTTTGGAGAGTTCAATGGGATCCAAAGGTCTGATTCTAATCCAGATGCAAATATATGGCAAATAGAGATTGTGGGTATGGTGGCTGACAGATCTGTGTGATGTAATATTCTGTCAAAATGGATGACGGAATATTGTTTGTTGAAATATACAAAATAGCTAGATTTTTTGGGAGAGTTCAATGGAATTCAAAGGTCTGATTCTAATCCAGATACAAATATATGGCAAATATAGATATGGTGGCTGACAGACCTGTCTGATGTAATATTCTTTTAAAATGGATAATGGAATTGTGGTTGTTGAAATATATAAAATCGCTAGAGTTTTTTTTTGAGAGTTCAATGAGATCAAAATATCTGATTCTAATCCAGATACAAATATATGGGAAATATAGATTGTGGGTATGGTGGCCTACAGATCTGCGTGATGCGATTTTATGTAAAACCTGGACGAAGAAAAATAGGTTGTCGAAAGATACAAAATGACTGGATAGTTTGGAGGGTTCATTAGGATCTGAAGGTCCTATTCTAATCCCGATATTGCCTGTTGCCTCTTTTGGCGGTGATTGCAGCATTTACGCGTGTTGCATGTTCGTGTCTCCTCTTTGTTGAAAGTCTTTCAGAAAAAAGAATCAAAAGTCTAATTTCCCAGAATTCTAACAGGAAATAACTGAGTAACCTCCAAAAATTGAATAATCTTGCCACATTGCAAGTTAATTTTTATCACTTTAACAGTAAGAGATAGATCAAGTATCGACCATCATAAAGACTGAAAAATAAAATTGACAAAGATTATTGTTTAAGGTTGAAGGACACGCAGGTCTTAATTAGTTTTTTTTTTTTTTTTACGAATTGGTCATACCCAAACTCAAACAAAAACATTGTTTTCAATCGTTATGAGTCTACTGATTGAATAGAATTTTATTATAAACAATTGTCTTGTAAATGGAATTTGTACAGCATTCCGAGTGTAAAAATAAAGAAAAAGTGTGCAAGACAATAAGAAACACTAAAAGCCAAAAAAAGTGAAGTTTTGTTGAAATCGGTTGAAAAATGTAGGAAATCTGATCCCATATATAAACGAACACACACACGCACAAACAACCTGGGTTTTTATAATAAGTATAACTCGATATGAGTTGTCTCCCATTCATTCTCGCGATGCTTCTTAATCGTGTTTTCAAATTAATTTCGTGCAAAAACAATTGTATTTTTCCAATTTTGGGCGCTGTCAGAACCACCGCAAAGTAATTTTATGTAGTCCTGTCAAGTTTTGTTGAAATCGGTTGAAAAATGTAGGAAATCCGATCCAATATATAAACGTACACACACACACACACACACACACACACACACAACCTGAGTTTTATAATAAGTATGATTTCATATATAATATCCTACATGTCTAACAAAACCGATTTTAATGATTATGGGTCTGGTTTAAAATCATAATTATCCAGCTATATTTGAAACCTATCATTTGTCAAACACAACCGTAAATAGCCAACTACATCGGCAGCATTTTCTAATTATCCTTTGTCGGGAACACTTTTTTTTACTGATCCTTTGTCAGACTCAAAATCGTAAATAGCCAACTACGGCGGGAGAACTATTTTTAACGATCATTTTGTCAAAATCAAAATCGTAAATATCCAAATACGTTTGGCCTCCATTTTGAAAAAATATCTTTAAATTTTATCTAGACTTCCAAAATGTCTACCACCACTTGACGTTCATTTTACTGATCATGTGTCAAGCTTAACTTAACTCGTAAATATCCACAAAAAAGTCATATCTATCCGTGCATACAAATGCAGATATATGTACATATGTAAATCAAATGCTGCTCTTTGAATATAAATATGTCTTCTCTCTTTGTTTATCTCATTTTGAAAATCTACAGATCGATGTATCAATCGATAGACATTTCTATCGATTCATTCTATTCTCTTAGATGAGCGTTGTCCAACTTCTATACGTTAAGTTATCCGTTAAAATCTTTGTGCGGAAAGGAAATCAGAGCGGCAAAAAATGAAAAGTGAACAACAGAATACAATACTTACGACAAGACAAAGCTTTGTCTATATAAATCAGAGTCATGAGTATATGAAGAAAGTAAATAAAAAAAACTCTTTTGATACCGGCAAGACAACAGACATTTCGTAATGATAAATGTCATTAAAATACGAAAGAATTTAAAAAAAAAAAGAAAAGAAAGAGATAGGCCAGAGATAAGAACAAAACTATAGAATCTGGATACGCTTTTAAAAGACTGTCAAAAATTCGCATAATATTTCAATAGAATTGAATTAATACTGATCGACCAAATGAAAGCATATTTCAAAATTGAATAAATATCAGCCGACATTTTACATCAACGTCTAATGCCGGTCATTGCTTTTAGTTCACAGATTTCTCTGGCTGCTCATATCTAACGCCCCGGTTAATTATTTATGATGTATGCGAAAATGTTTCCGACGTTTTTTAATTTATTTACATATCTTTATAAAAATATATATCTTTTAAATGTATACTCAGGATTCTGATTTTAAAAGAAAATGTATGTTAGGAATGTTTGTACAGATTAATATCTATCACATAATTTTTTCTATTTATGTATTTACGTATGCTAGTTTGTTCACATCTATGCATGTATGTATCTATCTATCTATCTATCTATCTATCTATCTATCTATCTATTTCAGTCTATTTATCTACCTACCTGTCTATCTGTCAGACTTCTATCTATTTATCTGTCTATCGATTTCAGTTTATTCGTCTATCCGTCTATCTATCTATCTATCTATCTATCTATCTATCTATCTATCTATCTATCTGTTCATATATATGTATTCGCGTCTATCCATCTGTCTACACGCACACACATACATACATGAACAAACAAACACACACTTTATCTATCTATCTATCTATCTATCTATCTATCTATCTATCTATCTATCTCAGTCTGTTTCTATCTATCTCAGTCTGTTTATATCTATCTATCTATCTATCTATCTATCTATCTATCTATCGATCTATCTATTTCAGTCTCTTTATCTACCTACCTGTCTACCGGTCAGGCATCCATCTGTTCATCTATCTATCGATTTTAGTTTATTCGTCTATCTATCTATCTATCTATCTATCTAGCTAGCTAGCTAGCTAGCTAGCTAGCTAGCTAGCTATCGCCATCCGTTCATTCTATATTCTGTCTTCCTTATTAGCAACGTATCTATCATATTTTCTGTCTCTATCTATCTTTCGCAATTCCATGTTAGTCGCTCGTAATATCTAAACAACATCATCGAAATCGTTAAAGGTTCTTCGCTTATATTAAATTCAGTTTACCTGTGACAAAAGCCAATAAACCGAGGACCCTGTTAATATGACACGCATACATATCCTTTTCATTTCCATCCTGTATCGTCCTCGGCTTGATGGATCTGTAATATCTTCGACGACAGGTAAATTTTCCTCGGCTAGCTTTCTTATTTGTGGTGACTTCAATACTCACCACAAAGATTGATTAGTCCACTCGAACAATACTAATGAAGAAGCCAGAAACTTCTCCATCGCCTAACACAGATCATTGAAGAACCAACACGTGTTCCTGATGCAACGGGATATACGTCGAATCTCCTTGACCTCTTCCTCAACTACTGTCCTGAAAAAAGAAGTTTTTCACCTTCACCGGGGTTTTTTGCCCATTCACTAGTGTCAAAGTTTATGCTAAGCCAAAACCATTCCCGGATAGACATTTCCATAGAACAATTTTTCGATACAAGAAATCATAATGGGATAGCATAATATCTTACATGGTGGAAAAAACCTTTATCAACATTCTTCAAACAATATATTGCCACCAAATCTACTGCCCTTTTCTCAAAATGGTTCCTTTCTGGAATGGAGTGTTTTATGTCCCAGAAAAAAATTCAGCAAACACCGAACGACCTGGTTCGTTCCTGTATGTGCCTGATTCATTCAGAACTGACAGTATTTATTGCAAATGAGTTCTCGAAAATGCAAAGTGTAGTTACGCTCAAGCATCCGGAAAAGCAAATACCATATGTCCATAAAGTCTGTGTGCATAACTCATTTATAATTTTTTTAAAATGCATACGAAGTTTATGGACAACCTAATACGATTTTGCAGTTCACGGAAAACATTTGCCAACTGGTTTAAAGTAATGCCTGAAATCACATTAGTTAATTTAGCTATAGTTAAAACTAGGTACGTTAAATTTTATAACATTTTTTACAGATTATTTCTATTGTAAACACAAATAAAGTTATAAATTTTTTAAGTGCACACTATTTGCGATAGAAATAACTTGTAAAAATGATTAGAAAGACGTAAATATATATTTTTTAAGGTTTTATTGAAATTTTAAGTTTCTACATGTCCTCCATCATTAGCAATACAAAGGGTAATACGATTTTGCAGTTCATGGAAAACATTTGCCAACTGATTTACAGTAATGCTTGAAATCTCATTTGTTATTTTAGCTATACTTAAAACTAGGTACATTAAACTTTATAACATTTTTTACAGATTATTTCTATCGCAAGTAAAATTATAATTTTTTTAAAGGGCACTTGAACTTTACAGACATCCTGTATGTTGAATGCCAGATGTTCTGGAAAATCTGCAACCAAATTTTAAATAAAGGTAAAGCGCCAGTGCCTACTATTATAAATGATCCTGAAGTCATCGGTTCCTCCTCAGATAAGCCGAAGATTTTTGCCTCTAACTCACCATTAGTTGTCTAGTGCTATCTTCTTCCTGTTTTGTTTTGTTTTTTGCGTCTGACTGAGTACAATCTTAGAAATATTTTTATTACAGTCAGGGAAGTGTCAAGAATTATCAAAATTTTGAACCCTAAGATGGCCAATAGTCCAGACAATATCCCACTAGTTGTCTTATCCCAATCCTAGCGAGATTATTTAACCCCTGCTTGAAGAGTAAATCCTGCCCAATTCTCTGGAAGATGTCAAGAGTACCGAGTTTTAAAAAATGCGGGTGGGTGCTCATTCAGCTCACAGCAATGATCCATCAATCTCTCCAGTGTCTTTAGTAACCTTTTGGAATCTATAATCAATAACAAGATTGTTGGTCACCTCGATAGGAAAACTCACTTGAGTGACAAACAGTACAAGTTTCTATCAACCCGTTCCACTGCTGATATCTAACTATTATGACTCAGTGGGTTACTATGATGATCCCATTAGACAAGGTGTGGTATAGAGGGTTACAGCACTAGTTCTCTAGATATGTAATCAGTAGAACTGTCTTCTCAATTATAAAGCCAATCCTAAATGGTCCCTGTAGGTAGTTGTTTACGGCGTGTCGGCCGAGGCCCAGGAGGTCAATGCAGGCGTCCCCCAACGTTCACTTCTCTGTCTTTCTTCATCATATAAATGAACTGTCTAAGAATGTACCCCGATCATTTGTGAATATTATGCCTATGATAGAATGGTATATGTATGCAGCTCAAAAACTCTATGTGATCAAAGATTGGCAGCCTAACTTTTTCTCTGACCAAGCATAACAGTATAGCGGTATTTTCACATTCAATGCCTCGATGAACAAATTAATTAAATTCCATCCCCGCCGATCGGGCACAGAAGCTTCGCCTACTGCATTGAACGGAAGTTCCCTCCGAGAGGCTCCAAGACTTGTGTGCCTAGTGGGACGTAAATTCAACCCAGACCTCAAGTAGGACTCCCAAATACGACCCATCGCTAAAGTTGACAGAAAAAAGGATCGGGCCCCTGTACAACTTCAGTATGTACTTGACTCTTTCATTTATCCTCTGTCTTCGCAAGAGCCGTATCAGGTCAAAAATAAAAGGCGGCAATATAGTGGCGGGAGCTACCCTATCGTCAGTTTCCAGCCTCGATAGTCCCAAAATATCTACGTGTCCTTGTGGACGACGAATTATTTTCCACCCTACAACTCTTTTCTCACAGACGAAAAATCGCAAGCCTTTTGCTGCTCTATCGCTATTTCCATAGAAAATATTCAAGTGAACTGCATTCCTTAGTTCCACCAGTTCTAGTCTTTACGGAAACTCACACCGTAGGCCACGCCCATGGTAGCGAACCACCCTCATTCCCTTCGTATTGCGTTGCTAGGACGTAAGTTCCACTCCAGCCGCTTCTTCCCACAGACCGCTGATATGTGGATGCGACTCCCAATATTGACCTAAGGTTAACAGTTATTTTTACTACATAAACAGAGTCGCTTGGTCGGTAACTCTACCTCGAGTGTTTCTTTAGCTTTGGACTGTTTGGACAGTATTGTAAAAAAAAAAAAATATATATATAAAAAAGACTGGATTCTAATTATAAATCATGTATCGATTCTACATAACATTTTGTTTCAAACACAATCGCCTTCATTACTGATAAAATTGATCTATCTATCTATCTATCTATCACAGTTTGTTAATTATATATTTATCTATCTATCGATCGCAGTTTGTTAATTATCTATCTATCTATCTATCACAGTTTGTTAATTTTCTTTCTATCTATCTATCTATCTATCTATCTATCTATCTATCTATCTATCTATCTACAAACATTTTTATTATCTATGTATCTATCACAGCTTGTTATCTATCTGTCTATCTTCCACAGTTTAATTATCCATCTATCACACTTTGTTAATTATCTATCTATCTATCTATCTATCTATCTATCTATCTATCTATCTATCTAAAACCCTTTTCATCATCTATGTATCTATCACAGTTTGTTATCTATCTATCTATCTATCTATCTATCACAGTTTTTTAATTATCTATCTATCTATCTATCTATCTATCTATCTATCTATCTATCTATCTCTCTATCTATCTATCTATAACCCTTTTTATCATCTATGTATCTATCACAGTTTGTTATCTATCTATCTATCTATCTATCTATCTATCTATCTATCTATCTATCTATCTATCACAGTATGTTAATCATCTATCTATCTACTTACCTATCTACCTATCTATCTATCTATTAGTGGACCTGTCGATAAACTACATTCGGCAGCAAGGAGGCCGACCAGAAGATGGGTGTTTTTGAGGAGCGTGGAACCCCCTTTAAATTGCTGTTGTTTCCAGGACCACCTTGACCCGAGGTAGCACCTATTAGGGTCCCACCTATGGAAAAAGAGTGAACATCCAAACAAAAGTAAAACAGTATGGAAATATAAAAATACATTTTCATAGTAAAAAAAAAAAAAAAAAAACTTACTTTACATATTTATAGTAAAATAATCAACGATAGAATTTTTATATGACCAACAATAGATTTTATCTGTAGTTGATTACATAAAATTACGGTAAAAACAAAAAGCATAGTTGTGGCCATAAATAAAATGTGTAAAATATCCGAATTGATTGACAGGTAAGAAGCTGATATGACGTCAAATAAACAAATCTATCTATCTATCTATCTATCTATCTATCTATCTATCTATCTATCTATCTATCACAGTTTGTTAATTATCTATCTATCACATTTCGTTAATTATCTATCTATCAATCTATCACAGTTTGTTAATTATCTATCTATCTATCTATCTATCTATCTATCTATCTATCTATCTATCTATCTATCAATCACATTTTGTTAATTATCTATCTATCTATCTATCTATCTATCACAGTTTGTTAATTATCTATCTATCTATCTATTTATCTATCACATTTTGTTAATTATCTATATATCACAGTTTGCTAATTATCTATCACATTTCGTTAATTATCTATCTATCAATCTATCACAGTTTGTTAATTATCTATCTATCTATCACAGTTTGTTCATTATCTATCTATCTATCTATCGATCTATCAATCACATTTTGTTAATTATCTATCTATCAATCTATCACAGTTTGTTAATTATCTATCATTCAGAGTTTGTTATCTATCTATCTATCTATCTATCACAGTTATCTATCTATCTATCTATTTATCTATCTATCTATCACATTTTGTTAATTATCTATCAATCTATCACAGTTTGTTAATTATCTATCTATCTATCTATCTATCTATCTATCTATCTATCTATCTATCTATCTATCTATCTATCTATCTATCTATCTATCACTGTTTGTTATCTACCTATCTAACTGTCTATCTATCACAG